TTATGTTATAATGAGAGTAACTGTTTAGTAATACTTGCCATTGCCCAACCCATTATCAGTTCTAAACTTCTGCATAAATTTTGATACATAAACCAGGGCAATGGTCTGGGGTATTGTAAAATCGTCGGCGGTGTGCCATACTTCACAGTCTCAGCTAGAAGTCCTAAATTTGGAAACAAATATCAATTTTTGAGTTTTGCATGTTGTATTGAAAAATTACATTATTGTTTTAATAATTGGATATTATATACTTAACAATCTTAAATGGCAATAATATTATATTTCACATTAAATTACCGTATGGTCCAAAAATACGTGCTACATCTGCAATGCAGAGAATAATTCCTAAAATTGCAGTTACATATGTAGCATTCGGTATTTCTGGAATTTTTGATCTTCTAATTGCTGCAGTATTTGCTTCCAACATTTGTAGGGGTGTATCAGATTTAGTCCTATTTACGTATGCAGTGTGATTTAGTATTGAATGAATCATGAAATCGTTATTCTGAAAGTGTTCAAAATTACAAAATGGTATAATGCAGATTTTGTTAGAATAAAGGAAAATTATAAATAAGTAAAAAGTACCGTAACTTTTCCTTCGGATTTAGTGTTCTCGGGAAGCAAATTGGTCTCAACAGTTATATCTTCAGCGTGCTCTTTTTCTTTTTCATTCTTCCAAGATAAATTCTTTTTCCGTGATCTTCCGTCATCATCTTTATATTTATCCTTTTCTGCCATTAGAGCTGCTTTTTCACTACAGTCAGGTTGATCCGAGTCAGATTCAGATTTCTCTTGTATTTCCATTTTCACAGGGACTGTAATACGACCATGGGTTGGAGTTCTGCTTAAACTTCTAATACTAATATCACTACTTCGGCGATTTAAGTCCAATGGTTTAACTTGGACGAGTTCTGAATTGCGACGAAAAGAAATATCTGAATTCCTGCGCAACTCGGTTCTAGAAGTAGAACCGCTAACATCCGAATTACGTCTTGAACCTGAAATGTAATTAAGATACAGTGAACTTGTGAAATAAATTTCCTCAATATTTTGTTTCCAATAGAACTTATACATATGTATACATATATAATGCTTCTTGTCTACCTGCGGGACTTAAGTCCACAACTTTTGATAATTTGTGATGTTCGTTCGGGGGTAACATTCGCCTAGGTGTTCTGTTCCCGAAATCGCTATTTCTTTTTAATTTAGCAGCAAATTGAGAACTTCTGTTTTTTTCATGTGAAAAATCAGAACATCGTCTCAAATCTCTAACGCTTCCCAAAGGTGTTACGCTTTCAGAATTTCTTCGCGCCATTCCGTCCGGAGATCGTCTTCTATCAATTTCGGGCGAATGTCTAGGGCTAAAGTCGGAATAACGTCGATATTCTGATGTAGAACGATCTTCTTCGTTTATAAATCTAACGCTACATTCGGAATTTCTACGAGAAGATCTAGACGCATCGCTATCCCGTCTACTAGCTACAGAACTTCTACGGCTTGGACTTGATACTGTTATTATAGGTACATTAGCTGTTGACGGGGTAGGTGTCGGAGGTCTAACATGTACTTCTGGTACCGTTGATACGGGAACTGTTTTCTCATCTTGAGATAACGTACTTTTACATGGAGACTTCCCACATTCTCTTTGAACTTGCTGCTCTTTTTTGGATGTTTCCATAAACCGATCTGTAATATTGAGATAAAAAAGTTAAAAAATATTCAACTTTCGTAACCAAATGTTTCGATCTTGTACCCTTAAGAATTGTTATCTGACAAGAGGAAGGCACAGGTGTGGAAATCGCTTTTGGAACGGCACTATGTGGAAGTTGTAGTACACATGTAGTGTTACAAAAGCCCCATAGGTTTCTTCAGAATGGACCTTCGTTTGTTAGATATTTTAATTTAAACATTTGTATGAACCCAGCAACTCAGGTACATGGCACGTGTATCCAATAAGGTGCCGTGGTTGCGACGTTAGAGCGTTTGCCTATCACGCGTTTGGCTTGGGTTCGAGAATCCAGCAGGATTAAGAAGTTTTCTTTTTCTTTTCTTTCCTTTTTTTTTTTTTTTAAGTATCTTTACCGTAAAATGTAGTGTCGTTCCAAAAGCGATTTCCACATCTGTGCCTTCCCCTTGTGAATCAGTTGTAAAAGTCGCAGGTTCTGTTAATTCTACATCTTTATTTTTAGGATTGAGCAAAGTAGGTACTAAGGCAGCAACAACAGATGATGGTAAGTTATTGTAAGGAGCTAACATTGCCAGTTGCATAATACCTAAAGTAATATTTAATACAAAATATTGCTTTGTTAATATCTTTGCTTAAATAACTATTTTTATTGTACCTTTGATGTTATTACAATTTTAAATATATTAAAGTTAGCTTGTACGGACAAACCTTTTTGATGTGTATTGGAACTGTCTCCCATCGACACACTATTTGGCACAGTTTGCAATAGATGAATTATCTTATACCCTGCATGTAGGACTGTGAAATACAAAAAAATACTCCAGATGATGAATACTGTTTGAACCACACATTTTGCCACGTAATATTCGTAAGTGGTAGGAGCAATAGATGGACAGACAACTGCATAAAAAAAGTGTGATGTTATGACTGCAGTTAGGACGACTTTGTCCTGAAGTATTTCTGGTCCACATTTAAGCTAAAAATTCATTTAATGAGATATTAAATCATTCCTATTTGATGTTCAGTCTTTCTAATAAATTACCTTAGTTGACTGCAAAAAAGCCAATTGTATCAGGCCAAAAGCAGATGTTACACATGGAAATCCAATATCCCACACTATGGATTGAAAAAGTTTGGGCATGGTATCTTTAAGATTATACGGATCTACAAAGAGGCAAACAGCTCTTGATGTTCCAAGCATACATAAAAATATATTAATTGTAGACGTAAAAGGCCGGTTTGATATAAGCCGGCTTGATATAAGAGATCTGTAAAGAGTACATAATTTTCCTTTAGTTTTACATACATTTCTAGTTTTGGTAGAAAATATATTCTTATGCATACCTTAAGTGTAGAATAGATAAAAATGTGTAAAATGCAAGTACAAAGAAGAGGCAACCAAAACCATTTGTATGTAAAAGAAAAAACCATTTCAGGTCTTGATTTATTGATACCAATGGTGGAGTGATGATTGGCAATTTCTCCCATTCTGAAACACAATTTGGTCCAGGTCTTAGTGTTATTGATATGTTCATGCCTATTGATAAAGTAGAAATAATGAAATTGTTATAATTGTTATAAGAAGATTGACATAAAATCATAAAATTGATTAATTTCTCTTTTATTATGTTGCACTGTCATGTTTATGAAAGATTTATCCTTGTATATATATTTTAAATAATAATACAGCTTATCCATAATCATTGAGAATTGATATTCACAGTCCATCACTAACTTTTTTCTAGCGCTTGAATTGCAAGGATAGACAATTGAATTCTTTTTCAGTCCGAGCGAACAAGTTATCGCAAGGACGAACTTTGAAATGTGGCAGCAGCAACAGGCTTTGCTTATAGAGTAGTCTGATTCGCATCCCTTCTCCAATTCGTAGATACTCACGGTCCCATCCGTTTCTCTCACCCTCTTCCTAGTTAATATTGATTTTACACAAAGAGGGTTGGAGGGAGAGTTCAGACCATCCTGAGCTTTACGCTTGTCCATTGTTTATCTTTAGAATTTAAATAGAGCATTACTAAATTTATCAAATTAATTCTGTTTGATCATTTATTATTATCATCTTGCAGTCGTATGCACATAATTGTTGATATTTAGAAACTGCATTTGTGTGCTTGTATTTTTCAGCTACAGATTTTTTAAAAGTATGAAACGTTACTTTCTCTGCTAAAAATATTTTCGACTGCATGCAATTAACACTTCGATCGAAATCAATCGAAAACTATACAAAAATAATAGGTAGAATTTCTTTTCATTAATTACGTTGTGAAATTTGTTATTAGAAATTGTGATAATTGTAACGACAACTTTTTATTTTCGTTTATTTTTATATTCCATTCATGATAAAGACGTAGTCGTTTACGAAAAATCATTTGAATATAATTACCGTAAGAGGTATTTCCAATTAACAATCAGCAGTAGTGTAAATCAATTTTATATTTAGATTTAAATCAATTACCTTCTTGTCGTTTGTTTTTATATCCGTGATATACGACTAAACAAACTTTGTTTCTGATTCTAGTAAAATATAAAGTATAAGGGAGAAAGAGTAGATGATATATTTCACATGCACTGTATGCAGACGTCTTACAGCTTTAATATACATATTGAAAAACAACATTATAAATAAATTATTCTTTATTACAATATTGTATGTACATTTTGTTTCTTGTATTTTAACTTAACTTTTAAACGGTTTACCATATATTGTAAATATATTGTCTCTAGTAGGTAATAGATTATTGAAGATGATAAAATAATAAACGAATAGTACAGATTGTGCAAATATTACTATGTTCGTAGTTAATAACAAACATTTTAGAAGAATTTAATGTTTTCATTAATTTTTTTAAATATTTGTTTTACAATTATTTGCGTTATGTATGCATGCACTATTTATGCATACGATGATAGATAATTATTACGAAAGTTCTGCTGTGAGTTTGTATGTACTAATAATGATATGTTGTACCGGTCAATGTAGTTGACATGCTCTAACTGCAATTAATTGTAAAAGAATGAATATGGGGCTTAAGATTTCTGAATACTCTAGAGTGCTTTGTCCAGAGAGCTTTTTACACAGAAGATATTTAAAAACGAATATTAAAAGTAATGATATAAGACTCCATAATGCTCTTAGAATAGCAACTTTGATCATCCCTTCCATATGCATTCTTATGAAAATAATTGCACAAAAATAAGTGTTCAGACCATCTGCAACAAAAAGTGGTGAAAACACTATCCACCATCCTGTATGACCTAGGAAGTAATTATCATCCAGCTTAAGGGCTAATAACATTGTGAAGATTGTTAATGAAACTAAGTTTATCCATATTTCAAAAATTGTCAATCCCAGCCAGTGTACTAACTCGTTTAAAGAAAATATCATTTTAAAGTAATTAAGTCTTATGCGATTAAATATTTAGTTTTACACTTTCATTTATTAAATTGGAAATGTCCCTTTTTGATCATTTATTATAATTCATTAGAAGCTTTCTCATACTTTTCTAAAAGTTATATTTTATTCTTGGTATTTAAGGCTACCTATTGAAAATTTTCTGAACACACGTATATGTACAGCTGAATTGTTCCTATTAATTGTTTCATAGTCGGCATTATCATCAAGAGGCTCAAAATCATCTGCAACACATATAAAATCATTACTATAATGTCTAATGCTATTTATAGAATTTATAATCTATAATATTCATATACCAATAATAGACGCTGTAGAGGTCTTGATGTCTAATTCTATTCCACCATAATGAATCTCCTTTAATTGTAAAGCCAAGCTACATGCTCTGTGTATAGCAGCACCAAGGCCATGAATAATCACTTCAGAATTACCATTGTTGAGAAGCTTTTCACATTTTTTAACTTGGGCCTTATTATATTATAAAAACATAGAAAACAGTTAGAATTAAAGAAGAAGAAAAAATCATTTATCTTGTATAAAATATTAAACTTTACGGCTAATTGAACAGATCATTTTATCAGAAGTTTATATATTTCCATGGATACATAACGTAATAAAAAGTTATGGAACAAATCGTGCAGAAAATAAGTTTCAATTTCAAAGCTGTAACAACGTCAAAAGTGAAGGTTATAGTTTTGCGATAAATATTACCTTAAAGTTTGTTTTATTAGTAACAAATATGTCTTTATCTCGTCTCTTTACTATGCCAAAGGGTTGTCTTTTTCTTATTGTGTAATCAGAAAACAATAAATTCCTACGCTTCACTCTAGGTGCGTTTCTCTCTTCCGAAAAACTATCTTTCAATATAGAACATTCGTGCACATCGGCCATTCTGACAGATTCTACATGCGGCATTCTGTTGATTTTTTTACGTGTAAAAAGTACTCCGATTGGCAGAATTTTTTCTCTAATCAGATAGAAAAGCCAATTGAAGCATTCATGTAAAAATTGAACGGTGAATATAGTTATTGAATCAGACACAACAACGAGGTATAACCTCAAAAATTAAAGGCATCGATTGATGGGAGCTTTGACTACGATTTAGTGCATTGTATCGGAAAGAACTGACATCTTTTAATCTAACGTGAAATAGAGAATTCGTGTACAATGAAAGAACCCGAAGTGGATCCGAAGAATATTATAAAAAGCAGAGAATTGCTTTACAGGCTTATGATCAGGTTACATATTTTCGTTTTTCCTACATGCATGTGATTATTCTTGATCTATTTGAAGTAGTGGAAGAAGTAACTTTCTTAAATTGTTGAAATTGTGTAAAGTTATTGAGTACATTTTAACTTATCATAAATGTTTTAGCCAATTGTTTTACGATGGACATCAGACATTGGCTGTGCAACTGTCAAACATAATTCAAGCAGAACCACCATGTCCTCCATCTGATCGTTTACTTCATTTAATGTTAATTGGATTAGCTCATGAACCTGACCGTTCCAAAAAGGACACAAGTAACATATCTTCATTTACTTCAACCTTCGATAATACTTTAGGACCTGGCTTAGATTTAGAATTTGAGACAGAAGCTCAAACCCAAGCTCCAGAACCAGCACAATATGAAACTGCTTATGTTACCTCTCATAAAGGAAATTGTAGAGCTGGAGCATTTTCTGCAGATGGTCAATTGATAGCAACTGGATCAGTAGATGCATCCATTAAAATTTTGGATGTGGATAGAATGTTAGCTAAGTCTGCACCAGATGAAATGGCACCTGGGGATCAAACAGGTGGTCATCCAGTTATAAGAACATTATATGATCATTTAGAAGAAGTGACATGTTTGGAGTTTCATCCAAGAGAACCTATTCTTGTATCCGGGAGCAGAGATTTTTCAATTAAACTGTTTGATTTTAGTAAGGCTAGTGTTAAAAAGGCATTCAGAACTATTACAGATGCAGATCAAATACGATGTTTGTCTTTTCATCCCACTGGTGATTTTTTGGTGGTCGGAACCAATCATCCAGTGGTTAGACTATATGATGTTAATACGGCACAATGCTTTGTCTGTAGTATACCAAGTCATCAACACACTGCTGGAATAACTAGCATTAAATATTCTCCAGATGCAAAAACTTATGCATCAGCTGGTAAAGATGGAAGTATCAAATTATGGGATGGTGTATCAAATCGATGTATAAATACTTTTGTAAAAGCACATGATGGTTATGAAGTATGTTCAGTAACTTTTACCAGAAATGGAAAGGTTTGTGTTATTTAAAGAATGTGTCATATTATAACGTTTTAACAATTATGTATATAGATATGTATCTGTGTATGGTTCTTAAAGTAATTACTATATGGTTTTATAATTCTGGATTTCAGTATTTACTGTCTTCGGGGAAAGATTCTTTGATTAAATTATGGGAATTGTCTACTAGCAGATGCTTAATAGCGTATACAGGTGCAGGGACTACAGGTAAAACACCAAAGCATTAAGTATATGTGAAGTATATATATGTAACAAAAAGTAAAATTAATTACCCTTCAATTATCACGTTTATTGTTGAATTAATGTACCGTGTTTAATTGATATTTTTTAATAGGCAAACAAGAACATAAAGCTCAAGCTATTTTTAATCACACTGAAGATTATGTAATGTTTCCTGATGAAGCTACAACATCGCTATGCGCATGGAATTCTCGAAATGCATCTAGGAAACAATTATTATCATTAGGACACAATGGTCCAGTGAGACTGATTGTTCATTCTCCAACCGCTCCAGCATTCTTGACGTGCAGTGATGATTTCAGAGCAAGATTTTGGTTTAGAAGAATGCCGACTCATTAAGTTGGCATTTGAAGGACAAATATTTTCTTTACATATAGAAATTTCATCATTTAGCATTAATTATATTTCTACGCACGATTACCAATGAGAGTAATAATAATCGTTTAAATAATTAGAAAAAGGATCTCAGATATAGAATATGTGAAAAATTGTACAAAAGACTGTTGTACAACGTTCTTCAACGGTCAGATGTTTACTGTGACTTGAAGTGACAAAAATTTATTCGTATAGCTTATGTTAAACGGACACGATCTAATTTTATATCATTGTACGCATTCATTTCGTTTTACTTTTGAAGTAAAAAGGACGACTATGTCGTTTTGTTTTGATACCAATTTTCATCGATCTCAATGTTACTAACACGCGAATTCATGCAAATGACACGATTGAACGTGTGTATACAACTATAACAATTGAAAATTATTCGTTTTTCATGTGTACAGGTAAGTAGCAAAGCGGAAAATTCATTACATTGTAACGTATGAAGTTACACTTTGACGATATAATATTTACAGGAGTATAAAATGCACGGTATTTAACAGCCATGCACAGTTTGTATTTTGTTTCACTTTTTAGTGATAGCGTCGGAAATTCAGTAGTAAAGAATATTGTTGATTTCATTGAGAAGATTAGAGAAAAGTTAATTTATCGTTATAACGAATCCTATCTACAAGGATACTAATAGATAAGTTAGCAGTTAGATATGTGGATAATTAAGGATAATAAAGTAAAAACTTGAACGATTAAATTTAAAATGTTTCGTACGTGTTGCGTCGCTACGTGTCAAATTGCTCGGTTAATCGCAAGGCGGCGCTCTGAACTCCCGCTCTGCGTTTGACGATGTGTCACGTGACCCACGCTAACCGCCATCTTTGCTTATCGTATAAACAGTGCGACCGGGCTCTGCACGAATTCTTGTTGAGAAATTGCGGTTTTTCCAGTGTTTTTGAGTGATTCAGCCGCGAAGAAATGTCCGAGATTAAGGCGGAGAGCAAGAACGACAACAACATCGAGGATGTGTCAAAGGTAAGCAGGCGGAAGCACGAGAAACATCTTCATCAAGCCGAGTTTTCATGCTAAGGCGGCGTGTGCTCCCCTCAAATACAAGGAGACGCTCGTTCTCTGGAAAATTCGATAGAATGACGCGAGCTATGACGATGGAATGTTGTTTGGAAAGTGATTACGCGGGATATAAACATAAACGGGTAATAGGCAGTGGTGCCTTATTGCGCGTGGCCACAGATTCAGTGATTTTTCAAAGCTGCGCCGTTTGTCCTTCATTGGCAAAGATGGTGGATGTTTTTTTATTTGTGACTCTCACAACGAGGAGAGTCGCAGCTTAACGGCAATAGGTCCATGTGAAAAAGGCGGGAAATAGATTTTGGTTCCAGGATTACATGCCACGCGGGTTTCTACGAAAACTCGTTCTCTTTTAGAAACATCATTCGAGGCTACGACGCTAGAAATACACATCGACTTGGCAAAATGGCGGGAAACTTAAACAAACTTAGCGTGTATCCCCGTATAGTTCAACGGTCCTTGATAATCTTATCGCGCGCGTAATTATCGTCACACGTTTGTACGCATTTCTTTTAGTCGGACGTAATCCTGAAATCGCGATTTATTTTTCACACTATCGGCGTTTCTTTTTTACGTTCAGTTAGAGTTGAGTGACTTGACCACATCTCAGATGTTTCTATTTATCGAATTCGAATGATATGCGGAAATATTTTCAGGACCATTCAGCCGAAGAGAAACCAAGTCCAACGAAAAATAAACGAGGAGGCACGAAAAGACTCTCCACACTAGAAAGGACGGCTCTAGAAGGGGAACAACTCACAAAGGTGCGTTCTTTTCTTTTCTTTTTCCCTTTATCGTTTTTTTTTTTTTTTAATTTTATTTTAAGCTTTCGTCGCTCTTTAATGCTTGTTTTAATTAGATGATATAACGAGAATCGGCTTATCGACGGTCTCAAAATGTACGTAAGATCTAAGGGGGCCAAGAAGGTTTCACCCCTTTGCCAGATTATTTCCCTCCGTTTAACTTCCCCGTCGACTCTGCCTGTCTCTTCTACTACGTGAGCAAAAGGGTGTCGAGAGTGGGGATGCGAAGGGTTTGAGTAGGGGCGTAGGGGAATTCTCTTAGGTCTCTGGAGGGGAGTATTCCCCACCAATACACTTCGAGGCCGCCAATTATGAATAGCCATCCGTACTTTCCAGATCGACTGGCATATTCCTTACGATTGTTAATGTATACTCATTAATAGCGTTTTCGTATATGTTAGTTTTGTTTACCATTACGCTTTCACACATAAAGATTAGATACTTAATTATTATGTAGCATTATTAAAACGAAGAATAAACATGAAATATATCGGGGAAGAACGTGTCGTTTCACGTATGAGAGTATGTAATAAGAAAGTATGTAATGAGAAAAATGTAATAACAATTAAGAGATATGCAGTGCTTATGTTAAAAAGTAGCATCTTGAAATTTTCGTACTATATATTAGTCGTATCGCGTTGGTGTTTTGAATGGTCGGTCAGATGTAGAGAAATACTTGTACTCTGTCGCACTTAGAGTTGTGATTAATAACGAGTCGCTCGCTGTTCATTGCAGGATTTAAATGCTTCTGTTGGAGAAGTGGAAGGTAGGAGACGCACACGTAGTTCAGCACGAGGTCTAACTTCATCGACACTTGTGCCATCTCCACCTAAAAAAGAAAAAAGGGACACATCGACAAAAGGCACTGGTCGTGGACGCGGACGTCCTAAACGGCAAGAGAAAAACAATGAAAATAATACGGACGAAGAAGCAGCTAATAATAAGAGTGAAAAGCATTCCGAAGAGGAATCTATGAAAATGGATGTAGACGAGCATAAAGAGGAAACAGAAAAGTTGGCGGATAGCGACGACAAAAGCAGCAACGTTGCGAAAACAGAAAGCAACAAAGAAGCCACTGAAAAGACGCTCGACTCTAATTTCAAGGAGGAAAAAGTTGCAGAAGAGTCGGACAACTTTGCGGAAGAAACCAAGAGCTCTAGTGTTAGTGAAGAGAAAAAGGAGGACATAAAGGATAGCTCGGATTCGAGTCAAGATGCAACAGACACAACAACAGAGGCACCACCTTCATCTTCATCAGAGTCTCAAAATCCCTCTAATGCCACTACCATTGAAGAAAATAAGGAATAACCTCCTTTCACCTGTTTACCAACTTCATGTAAGCATTTTTTTTTTTTTTTTACAATTGTTTCCTTTATTCTTCACTAGCGTTGATTAGAGTTTTTTGTCGGACGAAATTTATGCAGAAGCGAATGAGAATTATATGGGTTTTATATTTTTTAACATAACTTCAGAGAAATCCAAGGTTTTTAGAAAGAGTATATTTATGAGTGTAATTATAATCACTATTGATTATGACCAATGAAATGGGATTTTTATTGTCCTTGTGTGCATTCTCAGTCTCTTTAAGTGGAATTAGGAGTACATAGTATATTAAAATACAAATTATTTAATAGCATAAAGTATTAATAGCATAAAATTTGTATAAATTTTGATAAAGCTTAATAATCTCAGAATATGGTCGAAAAGAAAATTGAACGATAGATAGCATTGTTAAGACATAATTATAAGCTTGTTTAAAAAGAAAGACTTTGTTATAAAATATTGATTTTACTGTAGCAGGTACCAGGGCGGCGCACACATTGGGGTTACAAATCCAGTCCCCTCGTCTATTTTAACAAATTGACACCTCCTTGCCGATCGTTATTCTAATCAGCGCACACGAGCATTACGTTACTTCCCTTTTTATTTTGAAGACGAAATATCGAGATACGTTTGCAGTATACATTCATTGCCGGGATAAATGCACGTTTAATCAGTGGTATTGAGAGTACCATAGAGTAGTTGTTTTAATTTAGTTTTACTCTGATAGAGTAGAATCACTCGTTGCGCACTGATTAGTTGGCGACGCAAAGCGAGGTGTAGAGCGTACGTTGTTCATGTACAATGATAATATTATTGTAAAATATATTTAATATGGACTTATATAGACAAGTTGTTTTCAAATCAGAGCTGAGGCCGGAGTCTTTATAATATATCAGTCTTCAATTCAGATCTGATATGGAAGTAGCTGAAATTAATTCGTACATAGCAAATTACTGTAATACCTTATCTTATATAAATGATGACTGAATGAAATGGAATATATGAGAATTATGGTGAAACGACTTCTCTTTTTTCATGGAATGCAGAAATAAAATTTCTGAGAAACGCGTCGTAGCGTGATATCTATTGTCTCCTTCCTCGCATAATGTTATTAACGACGATTAACCGGTTGGTCAATTTTAATTTTTTCAGTTTCTTTTGTACATTGGTAACTAACACTTTAACGAGATGTGCTTTGTTTCTATCTTTCGAATAAAAGAATTATTGTAAGATAGACTGTTGTGCATATGTATTCTTTTACGGTATAATTTCGCGCCACGTCGATGTTCTGTGATGCGTGTAAATCTTTTTTATTAAGCACCTCTTCGTCTTTTTTTTTCTTTCCTTTTTTGTTTCTCTCTCTCTCTCTCTCTTTCTCTCTCTTTCTCTCTCTTTCTCTCTTCATTGATAATGGTCCAATATTAAATATGTTGAGATATTATTGTGTATTTGAACGGTTGTGAATGTACAGATAGATTATATAATTCAATGCACTATAATTAACAAGATTCACAGTTCTTAATGGGACATAGAAATGGAATGATAAATCTAATCGTCGTTGAACGCTCGATCGTTGAAACGTGTGTGCAATCAAGAGAAGCAGTTTGTTTCGGTACGCACTTGGATTTCTTTTAGTCCACGCAAATGGAAAGTAACTCCGAGCCCCTTCCCCATATTCGTTGCAAAACTCTCGAATAGATTTTCTCGCATGATTTATCGAATAAGTTTTTAACGAAATAAAAGAAAATAAAGTGTCGCCGAGATAATTGAAAGTTTGTAAACACAAAAAGAAAAAGAAAAAAATCGAAGAAAAAGTTAGGATTTTAGCGGAGTTAGGTGCTTCTGATAATTAATTGTATCGTAAGAAAAGATAGGATTTGCCATTCCATGTATTTTTTTCTTTTTCTTATCAGTAACATGACGAGACGAAGCGTCGCTTTTCGCGAGAGATTAAAATCAAATGCGATACGCGTGTACATAGTTAAGGTTAAGCTTCGTGTGTGGCAATTGATCTTATCTCTGACGAGGTAGCGTGAAGGATTGGAACGAGGTGTGCTAGCGTGAGCATCGTCTTATAGAAAATATAGAAAGTATAGCTTAAACGCGTTTTTTGCTGATTCAATCAAAAGTGGAATTTTACAACACACGTAACGTTATTAATTAAACGTTTAGCCTTTCTTAAGAGAATAAACGGTACATTTATTTTATCTATACATAAGTATATACATATAAATGATTAGCATTTATGGGAAAAATGTCTTCGAGGTTCGATATTAGGATTTTAACGATATATATTCGCTATTCCAACTGTATATCTATTCTTGTTACAAATTACAGAGCTCTTATTAGTCGAAAACTTATGCTTCAGCTCTTGTAACGGTAGAAAAAGAGAATATTTTCTTTCCGTTCGAGAAGTGCGAATCATTTTTTACCCGAATAACTCTATCAAAGTTAATCGGTTGTGTAACGTGGATCGTTGAACGCGCATGGTCGCGCGAATGCTTATACAATTTTCGATGTTCGTTGCATTATTCCTCCTCCTTACACAACACACAACACAACACACACACACACAGAGACACCCACATAATAATCGACGGTAATAGGCACATTTATCATGCGTTAGTTTTCATCGTACGTGGATAATCTAACAAGAATTTAGATGTGTGCGAGTATCCGTGAAACTGGAATTGGGAACAATCGGTCATAGTTGTACTACAGTTTAGAGGATTTATAACAAATTTGTATTTAATTTGTCTACGTGTTACAACATTGTTGTAATACGAAGTGAAAATGTTTCGCATGCTATAAGAAAATAAAACGATCGAACAACAAGTTTAACGAAATACAAAACGCAATGGATCTCGCAGATATCTAAGGGAAGTAAAACAATTTAAAAACTTACTATCAGCGAATGTATATACTCGTGAAGTTTGTTTTCCTTTTATCTTCTCTTCTTTTGTAAGGGATGGAGATCGATTGTGTTTTAATTAATAAGCATTTTGTTCGCATTACAAAAACGGTAAGTTTATAGCGTCCTACTGAATGGAATTTAATTTCTGGTGCACACTGTTTATACGTCTTAGTTACATAATTGCTAAGAGCTGGAGCGACAAGTGTTAATATAAATACGAATGTAAGACAATGATTTTGTACAGTATGTTGATTCTGGTAAAATTTAATATCTTTTTTAAAACATTTTTTACGAGAACGTATAAATATTTTCAGTTCTCCTCGAGAACGAATCGAAAATTTTTCTTGGAAAAAACGGACAAAGGATCACCGTGATGAGAAATAAACGAATTTTAAGCATATCGCGTTATCGTTTGCTCTGTCGTGTTTTATCGACGGTCAACAAAGTCGATTCCACTACTTACTCGTTCACGTTTAATCGCTAGATGGCGAGATTGGAACGATAATCGAAACGTCTTTGCTACTATAGAGGCAACGGTCGGAAAATGTTGGTAGTTAACCGATGATTGTAACAGCGGATCGTTGATTAGAAATATTCAATTGATTTTGAAAGGAAAGGAAATTATGTTATGCTTGAAAATTAGCAATGGTAGAAATTCTGTTGATAGTTGAAGGGTAGTAAGTGTACTTGGAATGTTACGCGATTAGTGTGAATATGTGCATATGAAGTCTGTAATATGTCGCGGAAAAATGAACGCAGTAAGCGATATTTGTTGAATGCCTCTGGTGTGATGAAGTTGCGATGGAAGGTTACAGCGTAAATAATAAAACGAGAAGAGAACGTGGGGTCGGGCAGATTATTCGTTGAGCGCGTTTTGTGCTGGAAACGATCGAAGCATCGCTGCTGTTCGTTCGATATTCTTCGGATACAGACATCGGATCGGTTGTGTGTAAATTAGAAAAGCGCGTTTATCGTCTGTTTGAACGCGTTCCCTGTGAAAATAAGCGTAACGTTTTCTCGTCGGCCACCGTTCTTTCTTACATAGTCTCTTTCGTATTTCTTTCGACTTTTTCGCGATCGCTCTTCTCGTCGTTTCATCGATCACCTCGGCAATGTTACATACGTACATAGATTTTGTAAATCCGCGAACGAGGAGCAAGAGGAATCGACGCAAGTTTTAATTTAGCCACATATACTACGTGAAATGAAATTGCACGACTGATTTGCTATTGCCAAAACGCGATGCTTAATTCTGTTTCTCTAACTCGCATCGAGATTCGAAACGATCTCAAGATTAATTAGCCTGCACGTGGTGTCGCTAATTAGCTCCGCATTTGACGATTCACGATTAACTTTAGCTGTATTCTGGAGAAGAGCACCGCGCCGCGTCACCGTTACGCTTGCCATCACAAGCGGGTCGATGTTCAGCGACTCCAGACATTCTGGCACCGTCATATGTTTTTCCCTCTACTTGCGAGTTATCCCCCCGTTTCTTCTTTGTTATCGTTGCTCTCGATGTCACTCGCGTCATCGTTCCGTCGACTGCCACCGGATCTACCGATTACCGATCCGCACTTGATTTCAACTTTTTCGAAAGGAATCGAATTACGACGCATGCGTGTTCCCGATTGCTAACGGTCGCGAACAAAGGAAAAGAAAGGTAAGTAACGCACGTAGCATATCACTTGCCTATTAATACAGATAGAGCGAAAGGTACTCGTAATTTTCTCGTAAATGGTAAAATTGGAAGTAGGTAAAGTGTTTAAACTCGTTTCAAAGTCGAAGGTTTTTTTCTCGTTTATCCCACAGGGGGCGTAACTTGCACGAAAGGAAGAGGTATGTACATACGAGTAGAGGATAGAATCGGATAGAAGCGTTCAGTTGATCTTGTTGTGAGAGAGAAAAGGAGAGCGGCTAGTCTCGATAATTAAGAGATGACTGACACAGAGCTTTCAGTTGTTCTAAGAAGTTGTTCTGTTTTACATCGCACGTTCTAAGACACGATGTGTGGGGTTCGAAAATATGCAATTAACGAAATAACGTCTTCTCCGTTCTAGAAGGGAAATCGAGTTAAGTTGGCGTGGTGGATGATTATTCACCGTTGGTGGATTTAGATAGGTGGCGTCGATGCGTGCACGTTACCTCTGAGAATTCCAGTTGGGTGAAATTGGCGTAATTATCGAGACAACGGTGGCGAGCTCGCAATTAGAACGATGACAGCATTGTTTTGGAGATCGGGCCGAGGAGCCGTGGTCGGAATGGAACGAATTCGGTAATTGGTTTAACAAAGGCCGCAGCTACTCGACCATTTCCATAGGATTTCAAAATATTTATTTGCTCGTAAGTACATGCGGTTACATTTACAGAGTGTCGATGTGTACTAATGCGATCGCATAGGTCATTGCCGAGTGTTAATTGCATCGCAGGGGAATACCAGCCGCGAAACCGCAGGGAACGCGCGCCTGGATTCCTTTCACGCTAGATCGATATACAATCTACCCTTCCGTTTCTCTTTTCTCCTGGTTCTCGATTACGCACGCGGTTTTCCTCGATAACCTCGAAAACAGGGCATCTGCTGTTTCTTCTTTCGTTTCGAATACTAAAAACGAGAAGAGGATCTATCGCGAATACCGATATTAACGACGACGATATGTCGACGCGCGCTATCTCGGCTGTTTCTAACCAAGGGAACCGTGAAATTCGGTTCTCTCCCTATTTACTCTGCCCTTCTCCTTCTCGAGGGCGAAGCCGTTCTTGCTGGAAACCGGAAAACCGTTCGAGTTCTCTGGATCTAGACCGGGTCCGGTGGAGGTGCGAGTAGTTGCATGCTGCTGCTGCCGGAATGTGCGATCTGTAAAAGCATCGATTTCGGTAAGGAGGAGTGAAGAGGGAGAGAGAGGGGGGGGG